GTCATCTCAGATGCTCCGAAAGGGTACTTCTGCTTCTGCTTCTGCCAGAAAATGGCCACAATCAACGAACTGATTATACTGCCATGGACTTGGTGCGTATACTGAACCACCACCCCCTCCCTTTTTTTTTTGAATTTAGTTCAGCTTTGTCATCGAGGCTTTAAAGGCTTTAAAGGCCTCGACTGACAGTGCTGATACAAACCCAGGATGAAGAGCGTTCCAATCCCGCATGGTTCTTGGGAGGAGTGAGTTTTTGCGATAATCACAGGATGTGATGGTAACTGAAAGCATTTGTTGGGCATATTTCTCGACAGTCGTTTCGGTGGTATGAGACGACCTTTCTTTGACATTACCACTTTTTTGTCTCTAGTTTGTAGAGCATGGTGAGTCGAACTTCTTTTCTTTTTTGTTCTAGGGATGTCCATGCATCGTGCTAACGCTTGAGTCAGTAGTTATGATGTTTGTTGGATACATATATAACGAGCTCCTCTTCTTTGGACCATCTTGAGTCTGTCAGTCTCTGTCTTAAGGTATGGATCCCATACTGGACTGGTGTATTCTACAATTGGTTGTACCAGTGTTTTGTAGGCATTCTACTTTATTGTAGTTGATCCTATATTTAAAATTCTGTTTAGGAAACCAATTGTTCGATTTGCCTTGTTACATATACTATTTACATGGTCATTCCATCTGAGGTCTGATGTAAATGTGCAGCCTAGGTATTTTACACTGCTGACTGATTCAAGAATATGACCATGTAAGCTGTATGAAGTTGCAATGGTGTTGTTTTTTCCTGCTGATGGTAAGCACATTGAATTTGTCCGGGTGGAAGGACATTTTCCGTTTTGTTTCCCAAATACCAAGTTTTTCCAGATCTTTTTGTAAAACATGTGAATATTATCTGATGATATTGTGAGGTAAACTATTGTATCGCCTGCAAATAGTCGGACAGTAGATTTAATCCCATCGGGCATGTCGTTAATGTAGAACAGGAATAGTGACAGCCCAAGTACTGAACCTTGGGATACTCCAGACTCTACGTCGATAGGAGATGAGCTTTCTCCATCCACAACTACTGCTTGGGTCCGATGAGACAGAAAGTTTGCGATCCACTTAATCACTTTTCCTTGGATGCCATAGTGTTCATGTTTATGTATGAGGAGAATGTGACTAACCTTATCAAAAGATTTCAAAAAACCAGATCTAGATTTCTATGTTGTTTTGTATACTCACGGTTCTTTGTCTTTTGATCGTTTTTCATTTTTGACATGGCATTTTCAGTCTGTTTTCGACTTATGAGTTGGGATGACCCTGTGGTATTTTGTATGGTAAAAAACTAGAACCTACGATTTCCTGGTCTAGTGTACTTAATCATACTAAAAACTTTCACCTCTAGAACTACTGCCAGTATGCAGTCGTTAAGGATTTTTTATATCTCCTATTGGTCCTGACTTCCATATGGCAATGAATTATAAACGTTTTCAATAAATAAAGCCAAATTTCACAAGAGCAACCTTTGCGGAAGCAATGTATTGCTAGAATTCCGAATTTTAAATATAATTAAAAATAGGATATCACATGCATCTAATACTAATACGAATACGAAAGTTTTATTTTGATTCGGTTCACATATAACAATACAAACATAAGCTCTTGAGAGCTTTTTACCGAATATGAATAACATATACATAACATTAAAACACAGAACATGCAGGTAAGATATATAAGCAGCAATTATTATTTCAAATGCATAGAAACAGCACAGGCATATTGAAATACATGCAAAGCATTACTAAGCTACTCATCTAAACATGCCAAAACTGAAGCATAACTAAAAATTGAAGCACAACTAAAATTTAAGCACAACTAAAAATTAAGAACAAATAAAAATATAGCACACATGCAAAAATTAAGGCATAAAGCAAGCATTTAGCAATTACTAAAAATATGAGAAAGCTTATCTACATGCAGAACAACAGCATTTTGATCCATTCTAGGACTGTATAAGGCTCTTAAATTTAGAAAAACTATTTTCAGTCCTGAAATGGTCAGGTAGGCTGTTCCACACTACAAATCTAAAACTTTTCTTACCGAACTGTGTAGTTTTTACATGTGGAATATCCAGTATATTACTATATCTGAAAGAATATTTACAATCTTTTACATTTAATAGATCATGTAAACAGACAGGTGCTAATTTATTAACTATATTAAAAGTTTCAATTGCCATTGATCTTTGTCTTTTAATATGCAGTGAAGGCATCTTTGCCTTTTCAAGCAACTGTTGATATGAGCTTAAATGATCTTCATACACAAATCTTAGTGCTCTTTCTTGCACTTTTTCTAATTTTTTTGAATTTTTCTCGGTACAAAAATGCCATGCCAAAGGGCAGAAATTGAAATTGCTCAAAATAAATGTATGGAAAATAGTTAGCTTACTTAGCTTGTTCAAGTAAGTTCGCAAACGTTTCAAACTATTTAGTTGCTGAGATGCCTTCCTGCATATTTTACGAATACGAATATCAAAATTTAGCTGATAATCTATGTCAATAAAATAGAGAATGGAAATGGGGAATGTGTCAAAGAGACAACAACCCGACCATAGAGCAGACAACAGCCGAAGGCCACCAATGGGTCTTCAATGCAGTGAGAAACTCCCGCACCCGGAGGCGTACTTCAGCTGGCCTCTAAACAAATATGTATACTAGTTCAGTGATAACGGACGTCATACTAAACTCCAAATTATACACAAGAAACTAAAATTAAAAATGATACAAGACTAACAAAGGCCAGAGGATCCTGACTTGGGACAGGCGCAAAAATGCGGCGGGGATAAACATGTTTTTTGATATCTCAACCCTCCCCCTATACCTCTAGCCAATGTAGAAAAAACAAACGTACAACAGTACGCACAGTAAAACTCAGTTTAAGAGAAGTCCGAGTATGCCAAGAAGTTTGACAGTTGACTCACAAGAAAGATCAGCACTTTGTATACGTATACATGGATTTTTGTTATATGTCTTTTTACCAACTGCTAAAACCTGAAATTTGTCAGGGTTTGCCTGCATTTTACTAATTTTGAACCATTCAATAGGTTTGAGTGATTCAGATTCCAAAGTAGAAATTAAAACATCGTAATCAGGATTACAGTAAGATAAAGTATTGTCATCTACATAGTTATACAGAGTTCCATTTTTCATAAATAAGAATATATCATTGATAAAAACATTGAACAGTAGGGGGCCAGGATAGAACCCTTGGGGAACCCCCTTATGAATGTCAGCCCAACTGCTAAGAATACTATTTATTTTAATTTATTGTTTCCTGCTTGACAAATAAGATTGAAGAAGTGAAATCGAATGAAAGGAACACCATATGCTGATAATTTATCGAGCAGAATTTCATGGGGTAGCAATCAAAAGCCTTTGAAAGAACAGCAGCTGTATACTGGTTATTATCTTCTAGCAGTCTTAACAGTGTGGTCTGACACCCATGGCCACGTCTAAAAGCACACAGATAAGGAGGAAAAATATTTTTTAAAAAATCACCAAGTTGAATTTCGAACACCTTTTCATAAATTTTAGAAAAAAATGGTAGAACGCTAACAGGCCTAAAGTTGGCTTTGTCAAGTTGGTTGTTTGTTTGTTTTTTTGGTGCAGTGGTGTTATATGAGCCTGCTTGAGTCTATCAGGAAATACACCAGTTTCTACAGATAAATTTATCAATGTTGTTAACTGTGGCACGATTATAGGTTTACACTATTTCACTACCTTTGCTGGTATGCCATCTACTCCAGTAGCTTTTTTAATGTTAATTTTGTTTATAATTTTTGCTACTTTTTCTGTTGTTGTGTTCTGAAAATCAAATTTTGTGTTTGTGCAATTATGATCTTTTATTTGCAAAATACTAGCATGAGTTGGTGGGTCGTATATCACATCACTGCCAATCTTGTCTGCAACTGTTGGAAAAAATGTATTAAAGTGTTCTGAAACATCTTAATTTGGTGTTGTTTATGATTTTGTTGTTTTCACATTAAACAATTTTTTGTTCCCCAGAGTGACTTTTTTTTTAGAAAAACGGCCTTATAGTTGTCCAAAAATTAATGTTTTTGGCCCCACCTGAACAACTAATAATTTTTCATGGATACTTTTTTAAGATCTTTTAAGTTTTGTAACAAGCCGGTTTCGCTGTTTTCTATATTTTCCCCAAGTTTTTGAATCTTTATGCTTTGTATATTGTGTGTACAGCATGTGCTTGCGATATACGGCCCATCTTAATTTTTACGGTGATGTTGGTTATAGTACCCGTAAATAGATGCAATCCATATAAACTTATTGACCATTTGAATAAACTTGCTTTAATAACACAGTAATTAAATCGTTAAACATCGTTTTTATCGGACCATTGATCTTGTTTTTGAAAATTAAAACATAACTAAAACATATAGTGCTATATCAAGGATTTGTATAGTCACTATATATATACAAATCCTTGGCTATATATAGTAAGACTACTATACAATTGCTTGTATATATGTACAGTTGTCTCGACGTTCAGCTATGATCATCAGAAGTATTGCCAGAATTGGAGACTCGGTTTTTGGTTTGCATTTTAATTCCCTTAATATTCTAATAATTTGTCTTGAACCAAGGATTTGTATAGTGATACAATACACTATACAAATCCTTGCTTGAACACTGTAAAAATGAAGATAGATCACAGAGGGAAGTTTTCGTAATGTCGCGCACCAAATTCCTAAAAACACGTGACCACATTCTTGGCTGTTTTATTATAATTACCCGCTTCGTAAAATTTGTATGTAGATCAAATATATTTGTTCATTCTATGTTATTTATTGTCGTTATCTGGACTTATAGACATAAATCATTTGTTGTTGAATTTGTCTTATGTCGTGTTAAATCAAATATCTGACTATCAAAATAACTTTTCCAGCATTTATTATTTTCCCCGGGGAGGTATTCATAAACGGAAGTGGAAAAGCGGATGTTGTGACTAATGAGTCCGGAAGCGAATTATTCACTGAAAGTTAAATATTACAAACATTCTGAAACAGGTTGGTAAGAATTCATGTAGAAAATTAGATTTTGCGCTTCGCATCGATAGAAAAGAGTGTCTTTACCAAACATTTCAAGCAAATGTATACTACCCAGTATTTAATCAGACCAGCAATACTGTGTTTGCAAATCATTTGTCTGGACTGCTATAAAGAAATAAGGCTATTAATTTACAGATTTCTATTCTATTCTATTCTATATCCATATATTACAAAATGTAGGGTCAATTGCAGACATAAGGGAGCTACCATTTGATTTTTATGGGGGGGGAGGGGGAGTTAGGATGAAATTTGAAAAAAATAGGCAGGACAGGAGTTTTCAGTTTAAAAAAAGGCAGGATGAGCAACTTGGCAAAAAAAAAAGTCAGGATAAACTAATTAAAAAAAATGCAGGACCGAATCAAGTAAAAAATAACAATAAAAATGCAGGACAGAGATTACAACTAAAAAAAAAATGCAGGACATAATTTTTCATCCTAGCCCCCCATAAAAATCAAATGGAATTCCCTAACTTGAGTCCAAGTAAATATATATTTGTAACCGCCCTCATTTAGCTGGGCTAGTAGCCTGAGATCCTGGTTCAACCTCCTTTTCCCAGCAGTAAGGCCATGTGTAATATAATCTAATCGACATGACTACTTTTTAGCTCAGAACAGTGCTGAATTAATGCTATGCATGTGCATGTTATATATACAAAGAATGTATCGATCAGATTGATAACTGGTGAATCTGGATGTAAATCAGTAATGTTTGGATTATTAAATATTGCTATATTTTTTACTGGAATTTGCATTTTTGTCGAGTGTGCAAAATTTATTACGCAAAAGAGAGAGAGCGATCCTAGATTACCTCTTCAGCAGTGTTCAGTCTGTGGTTCAAGTTTTTTTAGACATCAATAACTTTGTCAAACATACATGCAATTTTATGAAATTTGGACAGAAGCTTGTTTATGACCAAAATACAATATCCAGAGCAAAATTTTTCTGTATTTTACTGATAAATGGACTAAGTGTCTTTTTGTTGTTTGGATGTACATTGTACAAGTACCCAGCCACGTCCACTTGTATTTGTAGTATTTGTATTTTTATCCATCTAATGAGTTGAGCCTCTTTCAACTGATTTTTATAGTTCATTCTTATGTTGTACTGTTACACCACTCCCAGGTAAGGGGGAGGGTTGGGATCCCGCTTACATGTTTAATCCCCACCACATTCTGTATGTATGTGCCTGTCCCAAGTCAGGAGCCTGTAATTCAGTGGTTGTCGTTTGTTAACATGTATGTGTTACATATTTGTTTTTCGTTAATTTTTATGCCCCCGTCGTAGCGGTGGGGACATGAAGTTTTACCCTTGTCCGTCTGTACGTACGTAGGTCGGTAGTCTCAAAATTGGTTTCCATTCTCTAACTTTAGTTTGCCTCAACCAAATGTAATGAAACGTATACACAATGCTTATTACCACAAAACACAGATCAATTTTGAATTTTGGTGGCGTCACTTTAACCTTTCTAGAGTTATGCCCCTTTACAAATGGAAAAATTGCTGAATTTTTCATTTCCGTTCTCTTACTTTAGTTTGCCTCAACCAAATGTTATGAAACTTATACACAATGCTTATTACCACAAAACACAGATCAAGTTTGAATTTTGGTGGCAGGGTCCGACACTTACGGTTGTCCGATTGCCCAGGGCAAGCTAATGCCGTATTCGGACAAGTAAAAACATCATCTTGGTTGTCCGATCGAACAAGTGAAAAAAAAAGTGTTATATGATTAAAATTTCACAAAATCAATAGTGTCTGTTGTTTTGTCCATAGATTACTGAGTGATAACACCGCACGGTCGAGTAAAGTGGTCTTAACCCCCCTTCAATGCGTATATTTCGTCAATTGTTTGCACTGAATTCCCCATTTTACCAAAAATAGATCACGTTTAAAAATATTGGCCAATCAGGCGGCCGCGGCGTTGCTTCGTCATTATCGTTATCCATCGGGACACCACTCTGGCGTTTCCGACGCACGTGTTATTCCCACCGACCAATGGAAAGCAGAGGTCTATTTTCGTTGTTCTAACTTTATAATTTGACATCGGATGTGTATTTCCCTAAGATGGAAAAACGTAAAAGCTTGAAAGAGAAAATGAAATTAAACTTTAACAAATTTGTCAGTTGTTGTCAGTTTATCAAGAAGGGTTATTTGAAATGGCATTTCTTAGATAAATTATTATGAAATAAGTATCTCTATGTAAATGATCCAATTCCCGTATATTCATCGATCTTTTCCCTCCCTCCTCGGCTCATATATGCCTCATACATGTAGTATATTTTCATACTCCATAATCAATTTACACCCCATATACATGATAACTATATTTTATCTGCATGTACTACATTACAACCACAAAAATAGCATGTAAAAGTTTGGGCATGTAGATTTCACTTTCGGACAAGTAAAAGTAATAGGGCACTTGCCCAACTGGACAAGTTGGTATAAAAGTTAATGTCGAACCCTGGGTGGTGTCACTTCTACTGTTCTAGAGTTATGCCCCTTTACAAATGGAAAAATTGCTGAATTTTTCGTTTTTGTTCTCTAACTTTAGTTTGCCTCAACCAAATGTTATGAAACTTATACACAATGCTTATAACCACAAAACACAGATCAAGTTTGAATTTTGGTGGCATCACGTTCACCATTCTAGAGTTATGCCCCTTTATAAATGGAAAAATTGTGAAATTTTTATTTTCTTCTTAATATCAAGTAATTTTTATACGACCGCAAAAAAATTTTGAGGTCGTATATTGGTATGACGTTGGCGTCGTCGTCGTCATCGTCGTCGTCCGGCGTCGTCGTCCGAATACACATTGGTTTTCGCACTCTAACTTTAGTTTAAGTGAATGGATCTCTATGAAATTTTACCATAAGGTTCAATACCACAATAGGAAGGTGGGGATTGATTTTGGGGGTTATGGTACCAACAGTTAAGGAATTAGGTGCCAAAAAGGGGCAAAAAAATAAGCATTTCTGTAACTTCCAGACATAACTTGTGTGTTAGCATATGGATCTCTTTGACATTGTACCACAAGATTCCATATCACAAAGGGTCAATGCTGAGATTGATTTTGGGGTTAATTGCCTCAAAATTTTAGGAATAAGGGGCCAAAAGGGGGCCAAAAACAAGCATTTTTCTAGTTTCATGACAATAACTTGTGTGTAAGTGTATGGATCTTTCTGAAATTTTACTACAAGGTTCCATTTTACAAAGGGAAAGCTGGAATTGAGTGTTGTGGTAATTGCCCAAAACGTTTAGTAATAAGGGGCCTAAAAAGGGGTTTAATATAAGCATTTTTTAGTTTCTAGACAATAACTTGTGTTCAAGTGTATGGATCTCTCTAAAATTGTATTACAAGGTACCATACCACAAAGGCAAGGCTGTTATTGAGCTTGGTTTGGGGGGAAAGGGGGGTGGGGGTGATGAATCATAAGGGGGGCGGGGGTCAAAAAAGGGGTAATTTTTTTTTTTCCTTTTTTTTTTGTTTAAAATTTACATTTAAGTTAGTTATTTTTTATCACGAAGAGAAAGTAGGAATTGAGTTTTGGGGTTAATTGCTCAAACATTTATGAATAAGGGGCCAAATATTGGTCGAAAATAAGGATTTTTTTAGTTTGCAACAAAAACTTGTGTTCAAGTGATGGATCTCTGTGAAATTGTATTGCAATGTACCATACCACAAATTGAAGGTTGTGATTGAGGTGGGGGATGATGAATCAAAAGGGGGTTGAAAAAATGTGTGGGGGGTAGGATTTTTTTTTTTCCTTTTTTTTTCTTTAAAATTTTCCATTTAAAGATGGTTGTTTCAGATTTATATATGAAAGAAAATAATAATGATACGGTTATATATCATGAGGAATTGAAATTTAAAATTATGTATATTGGAAATTTAGGTTACATTGGAAAGTAATAATTGGCTTTGGGGGGGGTGGTTATGGCTCTAATGTTTAAGGAATAAGGGGAAAAAAGGTTAAAAAACAAGGGTTTCCATTTTAATAGACAAATAATTGAGTAAAGAACATTATTTAAAAGCAGTGTAAGGTTGGTAATTCAAACTCATTTAAATATCTCATCTACACTGCTTTTAAATTATGTAAATTGGAAATTTGCCAACAATTTTAGTGTAATAAACTTCATTGGAAATTTGCCAATATAAAATTTTGCTGATGAAGGTTTTTTGTTTACCTTTAGCCTTGACTATGAAGTCATTTTCTATTTTTATAGCCTTATGATGTAGTTGAATTATTTAATACTTTTATGATGTGTTTGAATGGGGTTTTATCATGTTTATGGTTGCAAATTTATTGTTTTAGTATAATAAACTCCATTTAAAATTTGCCAATAAAAAAAATTTTTGTTTATTTTTAGCTATGATTATGATGTCATTTTCTATTTTACTTTTATGGTTGCAAAGAAATTTTTATTTTTAGATATTACTGTTAAATGATGCTGATTAAGGTTTTTGCTATGTTTAGCCATGACTATGATGTCATTTTCTATTTTAATATCTGTTATGATGTATTTAAATGGGCTTTTATGGTTACAAAGGAATTTTATTTTTAGATATTACTATAAAATGTTGCTGATGCTGATTAAGGATTTTGTTTATTTTTAGCCATGACTATGATGTCATTTTCTATTTTAATGCCTTTATGATGTAATTTCCATTTTTAGATATTACTGTTAAATGATGCTGATTAAGGGTTTTTTGCTATGTTTAGCCATGACTATGATGTCATTTTCTATTTTAATATCTTTATGATGTATTTAAATGGGCTTTTATGGTTACAAAGGAATTTTATTTTTAGATATTACTTTAAATGTTGCTGATTAAGGATTTTTGTTTATTTTTAGCCATGACTATGATGTCACTTTCTATTTTAATACCTTTATGATGTATTTAAATGGGCTCCCATGTATTTAGATTTTTGATTATTTATACATGTTACCAAATTGGTCCACATTGAACAAAAACGGTCCAAATTTCAACTTTATTACATTACATCAAACATTGAATTCTACATATTCTTTGATATATTGAAATTAACAAACAATTTAGTTTATGGATATTCCACCATAATAGGTAAATTAAATTTTTTCCAGTTCTTACACCACATTCATCCTGTGTCAGAAACCTATGCTGTGTCAAATATTTAATGACAATCCAAAGTCATAGCTGTATCAAGCTTGAATTTTGTGTCCATACTTGCCCCAACTGTTCAGGGTTCGACCTCTGCGGTCGTATCAAGCTGCGCCCCAGCGAAGCATTTTATTAAAATTAGAGTTATCTTCCTTTGTCCATGATTATAGTTGAATCAACTACAATCAATGCTTTATACAATGCAATGTTTAATTTTGACTTCCACTGATAAATCACAGATCAAGTTGAATTTGGGTAGTGTCACTTTTACCATTATTGAGTTATGCCCCTTTATAAAACGAAAGATTGCAAAATTTTTAGTTTCCGTTCTGTAACTTAAGTTTGCCCCAACCAAACATTATGAAACCTATACACAATATTCATTACCACAAAACTAAGATCAAGTACAAATTTTTTGTTTCCGTTTTCTAACTTTAGTTTGCCTCAACCAAATGTTATGAAACTTATACACAATGCTTATTACTGCATAATACAGATTTAAGTACAAAATTTGGTGGTGACACTTTTACCATTCTTGAGTTATGTCCCTTTATACACATAAAAATTGCGGAATTTTTCGTTTCCGTTCTCTAACTTTAGTTTGTCTCAACCAAATGTTATAAAACTTATACACAACAGTTCTAGAGTTATGCGTGTTTACAAATAGAAAAATTGCTGAATTTTTAGTTTCTGTTCTCTACTTAAGTTAGCCTCAACCAAATGTTATGACACTTACACACAATGCTTTTTACCACAAAACTCAGATGAAGTTCAAATTTGGGTAATGTCACTTTTACTGTTCTTCAGTTATGTCCCTTTATAACTATATGATATGCATGCGGGGGCATCATCTGTGTCCACATGTGGACACTATCCACATTAATTTAATTTATTGCCCTGTATTATATATTTAACCTGTAAATGGCTGTTTTTGGGGGCTATGTTCAAACATTGGTCTACTATCTTTCTACCTCCTTTTAGGTTTGCCTTTTGATATTGATAAAAATTATGACTTGAAAAAGCTTAGTTGTAGGATGCCAAAGGGTTATTTAATTTTTCAGTTGTTATTCTGGTGTCCAAAGTTGGATTGATTGATTGATTGACTGGTGTTTAACACCACTTTCAGTACTGTTGTGCTATTTCGTGATCACATGTTGGTGATATAATAAAAACTACCGATCAAACATGCATCTATTTAGTTTTATTTCATCATATTAAAAGACACAAAAAATTACACACATCCTGGACTCATCAAAATCTATTGGGACTCACCATTTCTAAAAGTGATGAGTCCCGGACTCACCATGAAAAATTCCTAGTGAGAACCCTGTTTGATAAATTCAAGTAATATTACAGGAGCACCAGATTTTTATACGCCCGTCAAAATTTTGATGGGACGTATTATGGTATACAAATGCCGTCTGTCTGTCCGGCGTAAACATGTCGCACCGTAATTTGAGAACAACTTATCCAAATTTCATGAAACTTAACATAGTTGTTTCTTATGATGATCAAACGATCTGTATACTTTTTGGTGAAAATAAAATTAAAACTTTTTGAGTTACAGGACTTAGTAACTAAAACAGGTGTGTGTTTTTTTTCACATGTCGCACCGTATCTCAAAAACAATTTATGATTATTGCTTAAAACTTTACACACTTCTTAGTTATACTAATCTTAAGATCTGTATACTTTTTGGTGATGATTCAAAATTTTATTTTTGAGTTATTGAGTATTTTGTAAAAAAAGGGGGAGGGGTTTTTCACATGTCGTGCCGTATCTCAAAAACGATTTGTGATTATTGCTTAAAATTTTACACACTTCTTAGTTATATTAATCTTAAGATCTGTATACTTTTTGGTTTTGATTCAAAATTTTATTTAAGAGATATTGATTTTTTTTTTTTTATAAAGGGGGGGTTTTCACATGTTGCACCGTATGTCAAAAACGATTTATGATTATTGCTTTAAATTTTACACACTTCTTAGTTATATTAATCTAAAGATCTGTATACTTTTTGGTTTTGATTCAAAATTTTATTTTAGAGATGTTGAGTTTTTTGTAAAAAAAAAAGGGGGGTTTCCGCATGTCAGAAACTATTTATGATTATTGCATAAAAATTCACACACAAGACGACAGGGGTATCATGCGCTCATGGTGCAGCTGTTTATTAGTCTTGGTGGTCCCAATGACCACCAGGAAAAAAAAGATTTAAAGAACTGAACCTTGTAATTAAAATATAAGCTACTGGAACATGTACATTGCGATCTTTTCTCATTTATCTTAATCTGTCGGTTGAGTACAAAATAGAAACATTCATATGACATGAACATGTTCTTGTCATACATGTATGCATTCATGTTATACAATGGTTTTCAGTGCTGGATATTATAGGACCTCCAAGCAGCCCTTATGATTTTCATATCGTCAATCGTTCTACAAAAGATGTGGTGAGACATTTTAAGATTCTAATTTAATTTAGAAGTCGGATGATTGATACAGGCTCCCCAGAGCCTTTAGCTGTTTGTTGCATTTGACTAATGTTTACATGTTTTAATCCTTTTTCAGAAGTAAGACACAATGGCATTGAATGCCCCACAAATGGGGACACTTCAAGTCCGTTGGGATCCAAAGAACTTGGAAATCAAAACAAAGTCTGTAGAAAAAACTCTAGAACCATTAGTTACACAGGTAAATTTGTCTTTAAGGAACATATAAGACTATTGTAGATTTGGGTATAATAAAACATGAAATTATTTGTAGTTAAATCTACATTGTACTAAACATGTAGCAAGTGTAGGCTTAGAATATTTACTCATGAAATGTCTGTAATTTTAAGTTTTTTTATCCAATATATTAACCTTCAGTCAGTGAACTTTGATACCTCACACAACATACAATGGTTCATTACATGTACATGTGCAATGTTTAGCAAGGTTAATAAATGCTGTTGATACTGCCTTCAGTATTTACAGTCCCGGTTTATACTTCTCAAGTAAGTCAATGCTGGCAAATACTGGACGATTTAAATTATCATTGTTCTTTTTACAGACTTAACTATATAAATTCTAGTAAAACATTGGTAGTTGGGATTAATATTGGAACTTTATACGATAATTACTAATTTAGTTTTAGGGGTAATGATATTGCATACTCGATATTGCTATATCAATTATTTCAACATGTATATATATAAATCATATATATATGATAAATATATTCAAACACTTGCTTACTAATTTATTGTGACCTTTGGTCCCAGCAGTAACTTTCTGTCCTGTGATCATGACCAGGTAGGGACTGGTTTTATAGTAATGTCTTAGAAAGATTCCAATTGACCAGTTTTTACCTCCAAGCCTAGTCATATACTAGTATTGACAGGATTTTTGCCAATCTTGTTGTTCATACAATTAATGTGGCTTTTTATAGCTGATCAAAACACTTAAATAAACTTCTTTATTTAGTGGTAAACATGTTCTCGTTTCTCGTTTTTTATACAGATTAAACCGTTGGTTTTCCTGTTTGAATTGTTTTACACTAGTCATTTTGGGGTCCTTTATAGCTTGCTGTTCCGTGTGAGCCAAGGCTCCGTTTTGAAGGCCGTACTTTGACCTATAATTGTCAACTTTTTATTCATTATGACTTGGATGGAGAGTTGTCTCATTGGCACTAATACCACATCTTCTTATTTATATTTGCTGATATTTTCAGTATCATCAATCTAAAAGAGTTTTTTTACAACGTGTTGGTTTACCAGGTTTTAATTGTTCTTACTTATAAATAACTTTTGATGTTTTCAAATGTGTAAACATTGAGTGATAGGTTAGAATCTATTTTCTATATAAATATCTCCTTAATTTCAGGTTACAACACTCGTCAATCAGAAATCCCCATCAAATAAAAAGAAAGGACGGTCAAAGAAAGCTCATGTCCTGAGTGCTGCAGTACAGAAGGCAACAGAAAACTTTATCATTGCTGGAGAAACAATTGCCAATGAAAATCCAGACATCAGAAATGATATGCTGGATGCTGTAGATGAAGTAAAGAAAACAGGTACATTTTTATTTATTGTCTTGAATTAATAGAATTTGACGAAAAAGTACCGTTAATCAGACATTCCATCTTCCTTATTTCAACCTGACAGTCCACATGGTTTAGTATTTGTAAATCATAGTCAATTCCTACTTAAAACTAACAGCCTAATTTATAACAAAACAATATGCGAAAAACAAATATGACAGACATGAACTAACGACAACATCAGAACTACAGGCGCCTCACTTGGGACAGGCACATACAGAATGTGGCGGTGTTAAACTAGTTTGCTGGTGCCAATCATCCTATGACAATTTTTACAAACCTCAATAAAATTGATAGGGCTATATGAGTACTGACATCCATGTCATGTGTGTTTGAGTTCCAACAGAAATTGGGTAGTCACAACTGAAGATTGATTATTTTTCAGGTGACACAATGACAGAGGCATCACAAGATTTTGCTGCTGATCCATGTTCTCTTGCTAAAAGAGGTGCTATGGTTCGTGCTGCACGTGCATTACTGTCTGCTGTCACACGACTGATGATTTTGGCGGATATGGTTGATGTACATTTACTATTGAAGACTTTAAATCTGGTAAACATTCTATTTGATACAACATATTGTATGTTGCAGATCCAAGAGTTAGAATTAAAGTTACAGTATTAAAATGTTTTCTTTATTGAAAAAAAATAAAGAGAAAAGTAGCTTTTGTCAAAGTTTGTAAGGACCTCTCTGAGAATTACCAAATCTATTGTAAAACGATGTTTTATGGATATGATCCCACATGGAAGTGGAAGTTATTCTCATGTATTTATGTGTCAGGCCTTCATGTTATATTTGCTTTGTGCAAAATATAATAGGTTGGTATAAAGTTGTTACAAAGTATTTCATTATAAAACCATTCTAGGTTCACTAAAAACACCTTTGAAGTCAGTTTTCTCATTAAAATCTGATGCCACTATTTATTTATATAATTACTTTGCTAAAAGATGAGTTTCTAAGAGGATTTTTTTTTTTTAATTCAGTCATTTTACTGTACATTTTTTTTTCTATTAATGAATAAAACTAAGTTGAACACAAACTTGAAAATGGAGAGTACATAGATGATTTATATGATTTTTGTCTGATAAAAATTAAGTTCTTTGAAAAGGAAGATAGTGTAAAAAAAAGTACCCCTACCTGTCCCTTTGGTTAAAAATCTGTACATTAAGAATTGACACAAAAGGTTAAAAGTTTTGTCAAATGGTAATACTCTTAATTAAGTTTTTTTTTAAAGATCATATAATTAAAAATTGTAGAAATATTAGAGACATACATGTATTATTGCATGATTAAGTTTCAAAAGTTAAGATTGTTTTCTTCAGGTTGAAGGTGACCTTGACAGAGTATTAAATGCCACAAGCCAGCAAGACCTGATGGCAACTTTTAAAGACTTGGGAGACAGTATTATGGATCTGACAAATAAAGCGGCACACAGACAAAATGTAAGTTGAGTTAGATTATTGATAGAAGTAAAGCAGCAGAGAGACATATCAGGCCAAAATAAATAAATGGTGTGTTTCCGGTTTCCCGACCCTACCTCCGTTTCCGACGCCGACCCTAAACATTTTATTGACAAAAATAAAATAAAAATTCAAAATCCGGATTTGTCAGTCTGTCCGGATCCGATTATTCGTTTAGAATACTATAGATCTTCAAAGCGTTTGATAATAACGACCAATATTGATAAGTAAAGCGTTTCAAGGACCAAGATTTTAAATAAACAAGCATGGCTTTTCGGCAACCGTGTAGCGTATTACCTGTCAAATATGCGAAATGTGATCACATGCACGCAAAATATAATGACATCGAATCCGGATAATTACGATATGATGAATCTTTTTGAAGAACATCAAGCGGACCTATAGATGAAAAAAATACGAAGTTGACGCACTTTGTTCAACTTCTTTGAACAGCCTTTACAAGCGAGATTTTTTAAATTTTTGTATATATAATGAAGTGTATTCAGTATATATACATATATTAACTAAATCTCGTCTTGTGCCTGTGCTTCTTTGGACCCGCGGCAACAGTCAAAATCGTTTCAGGTTGGACAGACTGTAACTGTCGGTAAATTGACTAACAATTTTATAGTAAAAACTACTAAAATCAATCCAGCTTTTGTTGTAAAACATGCTCTTACGAATGTTGTACAGAATTGTGCCCAGGACGCAACATAAACGGCTGTTAATCCAGGACGCAACATAAACGGCTGTTAATGCTTTTTAGTTTATGATGGCAAGGGAACAGACAATGTGGAACGAGAAAGATGAAACTTCAGAAGCTTTCCCCAGTAGGCAGACATGGTGTATGATTCATATTCATTTATAAATGAATCTGCCCCAGCACCATGTCTACTTTTATTCTTTTTTATTTCTCTGGCTGGTCCCATAACAATTTATACAAGAAAAGGGAAAAAATCCTGTCATATTTACATCTGCAATTTTTTTGACCAGTAGATTAATGAGGTACCTTCACGACGAATTGTCACGAAATAGAAGTTCCAAATGGAAAAAGTGTTCTGGAATATTATTTCCACTGGAATAAATATTACAGTATATGTTCCTATCGGAATGAATGGTATAGAATATTTGTTCCAACAGGAACAGATATTATGACATTGGTTATAACAAAGTTTCCAGTGGAACGTCTGTTAGGCAGAACAATCATATGTAGACAGAATAACGCTAAAAAATCTTGCCAAACGACATTAACGGTAATTTTTGGTGCATGACGATAAAATATACACTTTCTTTTAGACGGTAAAAAAATCGACTGATTTTGACGAATCACGTAAAATTTTTTCCAAAAAAACGGTAACGATAATTATCTGAGACCTATAGTATACAAATCCTTGCTCTGAAGAATCAGGATAAGGATATTTTGATGAATTAAGGTAAAATTTTAACCAATTTGACGCTAACGGTAGCCAAAAATGACCATTTGACGCCTGACGGTAACAGGCATTACTACCATCATTTATAAGAAAAAGATTTCACATTCTCACTCTTCTCAAAACCTGGAATTTTAATATTGTCAGAACCACCCAATCTTCAATCACCATCACATTTTGTCAAACATCAAAACACATCTGTATATTAAATAACGAGGGTGCAAGGGCAGAGTATTAACCCTAAAAAATCATAATTATCTGCTGCTTAGCATCGGTTCACAGTTTTTTCAAGGGGAACGAATCTGCTTCCATATGTATACCCTGTGTGACATTTACATTTTAAGGTTCAACGAGGATCAACATAATAACATACCAAGCCAGATTTTTCACTGCCATTTTTGGTTTAAGATAATTAATCGTGAAGAACATACACTTTTCTTTTTACGACCAATGAAATGCATAAAATTTTCATTCAAGTTTATTTTCATATTTCTGACGCAGAATTAAAACAGAAAATTAAAAAAGCTGTAGATTTAATTACTTTTCTAAATATCAGAGAAGCCCGCACATCAAACTATTTGATTTGGAACTTTTTTCTGCTGTCGACCCATCAATAAAAAAAAAATAAAATGTTTTCATAAAATAAAATGTTTTACCTACCTACCCTACCTAATTTTTTTGAAGATGAAATAGGAAACACACTATTAATTTATTTTGGCCTCATAAAAGAATTGCATATTTTTATGCCCCCGTCGAAGCGAAGGTGACGTTAAGGTTTACCCTTTTCCGTACGTACGTCCTGAAATTGGTTTCCATTCTCTAACTTTAGTTTGCCTTAACCAATTGTTATGAAACTTATACACAATGCTTATTACCACAAAACTGAGATCAAGTTCGAATTTGCGTGGCGTCACATTACCGTTCTGGAGTTATGCATCTTTATAATCTTATATGCAATCGGGGGCATCATCTGTGTCCCATGGACACATTCTCCATATATTTCTTATTATCTAAAATGATGTTTCTTTGCACTCAAATAAAAAAATATTTTTTGTTCAGAAAATTTCTAAGACATTGCATTAGATATCATTAAAATGTGTTATCTTTTGAATATAAATTCAATACATTTTTTTATATTAATCTTTTAATTTTCTGCATTGACAAATATTTTAATTGACTGTAGTCCATTATCTTTAAGGAACGTGTTCTATTCAAGCAGAATTTTTTATGATAAACTTCATACATGAAGGATATTTTCTGCTTGCTTTAAATACCTACAATGAAAAGGTGATGGAAATTTGATAAAAAATAGTTTATAAAAATAAGAAGATTTGGTATGACTGCCTATGAGACAACTATCCACAAGAGTTCAAATAAAGTGGATGTTAGCAATTATAGGCAACCGTACAGCCTTCAACAATGAGAAAACCTCATACCGTATTGTAAGCTTAACTTAATCAAATTAATTGTTTTAGAAATCCAGACATAAATACTTATTCATTGTACACTTTTTATCTCTTCCTTAATAAATTAATAAGTTCAGAAATATGCACTAGTAATTGATGTTTTTCTTTTTGTTATAGGATCTTAAGGATCCAAGAAGAAAAGAAGATATGGCTGCAGCTCGAGCGTTATTAAAGAAAAATAGCATGATGTTATTAACTGCATCTAAGGTACATATACAACAATAATTAATGTCAAAGCTAAATATCACAAAATATTATCAAGGGAAATTGAATGTACACCTGTCAAAATCAAAAATGCACTGAGATTATGAAGGAATGAAATTATATTTTTGTTGATACAATCATACACTAGTACATATAGAATAACTATACATTGTCTCAAACTATAAAATTTACTTGTACAAGGGCTTGCAAAGTATTACCAAGGTGACAAAAACCCGAGCTTAGCAATACTCCCATATTATCATCATCACAAACGAGGCAATATTTGGTCACTGGCTGTATATCACAAATGTTATAAGGTAAATCCAATTAGACTGCAAATAGCATAGTTGCAGTATAATTTGTATGTACAAATACAGTAGATCCAGTGATACGGTCAATGTTTCAGAACCAGTCAGTCTAGAAGATAAAAGTTGCAGTGGGTCTACTGAAAGATTTAATATATAATAAAGATTATTAGCTATGTACATTTTGAGAATAATCAACCATGAAATGGGAATGACACATTTACAATGCAAAACTCATTAATTTCTACTTCATTAAATTTTATTATTTGGCACAATGTCAAGTTAAATCTTGTTTTCATGATTTGTGTTAAAATTGTAAAATAATGGGCCTGCAATCAGCATATACTTGTTTGTCTGATCCAGTTTTCAAGATATGTGTTAAAGCTGTAAGACAATGGCCCTGCAATCAGCATATGTTTGGTTGACTGATCTTGTCGAGTTTTAGAAATGATTTAATCTTATAAAAATCATTGTAAAACTCAATGAATTCATATCATAAACAAGTTGTCTTTTTAATTCTCCTTCAGCTTATATTATAACATCATTTCTTGACTTTCTTCTAGGCCTATGTAAGACATCCAGAATTAGCCTCAGCCAGAGCTAATCGTGATTATGCTTACCAACAAGTGAGAAATGCCATCAGTACAATCTCTGGTGTGGCCCAAGCATCTGGACAATCAGATGCTCATCCTTATGAAGGAGCTGGAGAGTTGGCATCAGCTCTTGATGAATTAATGGTAAGATTATGATGGAAAAATTATTTGAAAATGCTAAAAGTTTCACCAGTTTAAGTTTAGGAAAGAAACAGCACAGTAAAATCTAAGACAATAATTTACTACATCTTGGTTCCTAGAAAACAAATTTTATGCTTCAAAAATAAGATCTGTGATGCAGGATGTCTCTCTCACTTTTATTTATTTAAATGTTTTCAGATTTTTTTAATTTGTTGTAAAGTGTGCAGGTTAGATTTAAATTTGGCATACAACAAAACTTTGACAAACAGACTCAATATAATAAAGGTTACATTGAAATCTGGATGATTCAAATTTGAATCCTCATAACCGAGAAGTGCTTTTTTCTGTAAGATAACGAATGCAAATTTGCAATAAAATTCAGATTGAAATTATAAATATAAAACTTAAAAGTTAATAAAACAAACAATTTGTATCTTATCATCAGTACACACATATAGATACTTATTTTTGTTTCACTTTTTAAAATTCTGAATACTTTTAAATCATGCCTAGATTTATTATTGTTATTTTTAATTCAGCAAAAGATTATTATGGATCCATTATCCTACAATGAAGTCAGAACCAGGCCATCATTAGAAGAAAGACTTGAGAGTATAATCAGTGGTGCTGCTTTGATGGCTGACTCATCCTGTACAAGAGATGATCGTAGAGAAAGGATCGTACAGGAATGTAATGCTGTTAGACAAGCTCTCCAAGATTTACTGACAGAATATATGAATAATGTAAGTTATCACTGGAGGGTCGTGGAGGAAGGGGAGGCAATGATCATCAAGAAATAATTTTTATTAGAATAATTTAAAAATACTTTTACAGAGGATTAAAAAATGATAGTAAGAATTGTGATTTTTTTCTGAAATATATGAATATATGAACTTCGATTAATTAAGTAATACATGTTCTTTTTTAATTTAATCCAGTTGTACATACACATGGGGAAAAATGATAGATAATAATGAATACTTTGTCTGCAATCATGGCAATAGAAATTAAAATGGAATTAAATTTGAATTGAAACAAGACCTATTTCAGATATGCTGATTTTTTGCCTGGTGTGGTATAGAGAAAATAATAACTTAAGGATTTTATACTGTAACTGACCTATTTTGCTAAAAATAAACCAAAATTTCACCAGAAATCTGTAAAATTACTGCAGAAATTTAGAATTTTTTCAAAATACTTCTGACCATGGAATAAGATATTTGGTCCATTATCAACATATGTTTTTGTATTTTCATAATCTTGTGATGTCTTTTGTTCTAATTATTCATAAGATTAACATAATTTTCATTATGTTAGGGATACTTTAGCGAACCAGTAAATTACATTGTTTCCTACAATAACTATCTTTTTGTGTGTGTACAGTTAATTTTCATGTGTTTAAAACTGTCTTTGTGACTATTTTTATGAGACAGTGTACAAAGCCACATCCAGGTTCACCATTTTGGAGAGATGTACATATTGATCCCTACCTTCAAGGATTTCGTCCATATCATGTAATAAAAAGCATGAGTTTCTTGTTCAGAAATTTACACATTGCATATTTGTATTATTTAGATTTATTTCAAATCGGAGGAAAAATATATTTTGTACATGGAACAAACCATTTTATGTTGTAAGAATTAACACTTGAAATGCATGTGTAACTAACAGTGACGTATTCAGCAGGACTTGATATTTTTGTATACCGTTTACTTTTGTTGTTTTTTTCTTATTTGTTTATTTTTTTGAAAGTTTTTGATTTATTCCATAGTTGCAAAGTTTTTGTTTTCCCCGACATAAAACAAGAGATTGACATTTAAGTTGTCAGAACCTATAGACAGAATGTTATACATATTCCTTTTTGATCCTTTGAATGTTATGTATAGTAACATTTTTACTAACAGCACAGCCATGATGAAACTATGTTTAATTCACTCTAGAAATGTCGCTGTAGAAAGAAATGATTTTAGAGCTTAATGTTAATTAATTTAATCAGTGTAAAGATTTTAAAAATTTAAAACAATAACAAAACATCTAACAAAGATAGAAAGAAAAAAAATCAACAAATATTTAACCTGCTATATTCTGAGTTCTAATATGGGTAAATCTCACAAAAAGTATAAATCAGGTATAGAGTTTTTATTCATATCCATGTGTCAAATACTGGATCATGCTAAACAGTGGAACATAGATAAATTTAATGAGTGGATTATCAAATGATGCAACAATCAACTACAAATATGAAACCTTTTGCCGTTTTCATTAAGACAAAATAACATTTAAGTTCTGCTGATAAAAGCAAAGTTTTGTATTCATTCATTACTGCTTCATGATTTTGTGGCAAGCATTTGAACTTTGGTGGATAGTTGTCTCATTGGCAATCATACCACATCTCCTTATTTTTATACTAACTGAAACAAAAGGAAATAATGAATAGATTTAATAACATTCATGTCATGATCAATTAATGTCAATATGAAATTTAAAAAAATATGCTAAATGAATTTATTCTTGTAGGCTGGTAACTCAGAACCAAGTGAAGGATTAGAAAGAGCTATTGAGAACATGCAGAAAAAGACAAAAGATCTGAGAAGACAGGTTGGTATATTTTTTTCTAAGTACAGTTTTTTTTCTTCACTTCTTCTTGAATTGTTGATATTTGTAGAGATCTAAAAAAACTATAAACTGGGCTTGGTTGATCTATGTACAGTATTTATATGAAAAGTTGGAACAATATAGGACCAGTAGTTGCTGTTTTACTGTCCCTCCTGTACAGATCAACACGCAAACAGTTATTTAACACACTGTATATATGTCCAGTATGCCAACAATGTTCCTTTGGTTAGGAGATAAGTTATTTTGAAAATTTTATAAAATGTCACATTTCATACTTTTTTGTATTTAATGAAATGATGGTTGGGAAGCAATTATATCATTTTATTGTCAGCTAGGAGAATTCCATATATTACAGTTTATCTTCAAAGCAATAAAGGTCAAGCCGGTAGAGCAAGTGGATGAAAAGATGAAGGAGCTTTGTAATAAACTTCAGAAATATACCCTTGCTTTATAGTCCCATTTTAGGGTAATATCTTGGGGAAAATTGTGTATAGTTAATATAAATAAACTGAAAACAAAAACTTTTTCAGGTAAAAAATTAAGTACTTTTGTCATTCTACTTTGAAAAATTTGTTCTTGATCTTTTTTTTAGTTGAGGAAAGCTGTAGTGGACCATGTATCTGACTCATTTTTAGAGACCAATGTACCGTTGTTAGTCTTGATAGAGGCTGCAAAGGCAGGGGATGAGAAGGGAGTAGAGGAATATGCCCAGGTGTTTGCTGAACATGCTAATAAACTTGTCGAGGTAATTAAAAATATTTTTTAAGTTATAATTGCAAATACAAAAAAATAATTTTTTGACTGTCACTTCAAGGGATTGTTTGATATTTTGGATATTATTTTCTGAAATAATTTGTGACTTCATTTCGTATACACTATAACAACATCATTTGACCAATTTTGATAGATGAGTGCAACATCAACAAAAGGAAACAACATTTTCTTATAAAATTCAGGTCAGCATTTGGGTCCAGGGTGAAAAGTTTTACATTTGGAGTGTTTGGTTAACTGGTAAAAGTTGTGATAGATAACGTCTGAATTTCTGTTTAAAAAAACTGTTAAGAGTTATCTGAATTTTCATTATTTGGTTTCAGTGTTTGGTATGACACTTAACATGTTTCAGCCATCTGACTTTTGTTGAATTTGTATTTTACAGGTAGCCAACTTGGCCTGTTCAATGTCCAGTAATGAGGATGGTGTTAAAATGGTCAGACTTGCTGCAGCAGAATTAGAAAATCTTTGTCCACAGGTATAAAATATATTTTATTTTTAATACCTTACTGGACTGTTAATATGCATAAATGAAACAGAAACCCAACAACACAAACAATATTTCAAAAGAAATTGGGAGGTAAAAAAAACATACATTTTTCAACACTGCAAATTAGCACTGATTATGACGTTATCTGAAGGACCATTATGCTTTGCCAACATTCCTTTGGCCAATTTTTTTAAACCGACTCCATCCGTTATTAAAAAAAAGCGGAAGCCTACAAACACTCTATTGCAAAAAAAAAAAGCAAGACACAGTAGGGAATTAATGGATTATGTTCACCTTTCTGTATTAAAGTGATATTAAGGTAATCTTTTAACCATTCATTTGATTTTATTACAGTGATGTTAAAGACTAGTTACATTTTATTTACATTTTTTAGTCTGCATTAACTTGGCTTTGAAAATCAAAAATCTGTACCAAATGTTCAACAGGGAAAACTTTTGTGGAAACAATTTCTTATTTTAAATCAGGTTATAAATGCTGCTAGAGTACTAGCTGCTCGTCCACGATCCAAAGTGGCACAGGAAAATATGGATGTATTCAAAGATGCTTGGGAAAGAGAAGTCCGTCTGCTCACAGATGCTGTGGATGACATTACAACTATTGATGATTTCTTAGCTGTCTCTGGTAATATTTTGCATAATTATGCCCCCGCCGTAGCGGAGGGGGCATTAAGTTTTACCCTTGTCCGTACGTACGTCCCAAAATTGGTTTCCGTTCTCTAACTTTAGTTTGCCTCGACCAAATGTTATGAAACTTATACACAATGCTTATTACCACAAAACACAGATCAAGTTTGAATTTTGGTGGCTTCACTTTTGCCGTTCTCGAGTTATGCCCTTTACAAATTGAAAAATTGCTGAATTTTATGTTTCCATTCTCTAATTTTTTTTTTGCCTCAACCAAATGTTATGGAACATATACACAATGCTTATTACCACAAAACACAGATCAAGTTTAAATTTTGGTGGCATCACTTTTACTGTTTTAGAGTTATGCCCCTTTACAAATGGAAAAATTGCTTAATTTTTTTTTTCTGTTCTCTAACTTTAGTTTTCCTCAACCAAATGTTATGAAACTTATACTCAATGCTTATTACCTTAAAACACAGACAAAGTTTGAATTTTGGTGTCATCACTTTTGCCATTCTAGAGTTATGCCCCTTTACAAATGGAAAAATTGCTAAATTTTTGGTTTTTGTTCTCTAACTTTAGTTTACCTCTACCAAATGTTATGAAACTTATACACAATGCTTATTACCACAAAACACAGATCAAGTTTGAACTTTGGTGGTGTCACTTTTATTGTTCTTAAAGTTATGCCCCTTTAAAAATGGAAAAAATGCTTGAATTTTTGTTTCGGTTCTCTTACTTAAGTTTGCCTCAACTAAATGCTATGAAACTTATACACAATGCTAATTACCACAAAATCTGATCAAGTACAAATATGGGTAGCGTCACTCTTACAGTTCTTGAGTTATTTCCCTTTATAACATTATATGCAAGCGGGGGCATCATCTGTGTCCCATGGACACATTCCCCATTTATTGAAATTATAAGTCAATACTTAGTCCTATAAGCTCTATTCAACTAGCAATTTATTCATGTAAAATCATAATCAATTTTAGAGTAAAAACAATTTTTGTATAGTGTAAGCATATCTTTAAACTCACTGCATCACTTTTAAATAGGACTCAGTGTCTTTTTTTCTTTGAATGAAATGTTTGAAATGTGCATGCAAGTAAACTCCTGCAATATTACATTTAGACCATATAATTCTATTTCAAATGTTAACTTTCTCCTAAGCAAAATAAACATAAAATAAAAATTGGAAAAGCAAAGTCTACTTGCATTTTATACATTGTAAAATAAGAAAACATAATAAAAAAGTAAACTCTGGCAGTAAAAAGTCAAAGTCAAACTTCTTTCTGGCATATCCTTGATGACACCCAAGAGACATTTAATGAATTTAATGAATTTGAAAACATCTTCCATTAAAAAGGTAAAGTTTAAAAAAATTCTATTTATTACTTTCTTTGATAACAATTTAAAACTTTCTTACAGAAAGTCACATCTTGGAAGATGTAAATAAATGTGTGGTTGCATTACAAGAAATGGACCCTGACAATCTAGATCGTACTGCTGGTGCCATCCGAGGTCGTTCAGCACGAGTCTGTAATGTTGTTAGTGCTGAGATGGATAATTATGAACCTGGTTTGTACACAGACAGAGTGATGGAGGCTGTTGTTATGCTCAGAGATCAAGGTAAAAATTCTTATGCTACACCTTTAAGGGTTTTTTTTTTGTGTTTTTTAACCTTGAAAGATATAGGTGAGGTACTTATTGTTTAAGGGAAAACTATTAAACATTTATTTTACTAAAGTTCAATATGCTGCATACGGTTAGGGGGAAATCATGTGAATTGTTTGAGATACAGTTGATCATTGCTTTCAGATGTGTTATACAAAATTCTTTAATTTTCTATTCACAAGCAAGCATAGTGAATTTTTTTTATGATTGAATATTGCTTTCAGTTATGCCAAACTTTGCTGAGAAAGTGGAAATAGCAGTGGATGCACTGAGCTGTAATCCACCGAGGGAAATAGATGAAAATGAATTTATTGATGCTAGTCGTCTGGTATATGATGGTGTCAGAGAGATCAGACAGGCAGTTCTTATCAACAGGGTTTGTTTATACTAGTTGATTAATTGAAATTTTTTTATTGCTTTAAATTTGTAAATCTTCAGTAAATATATTGGTAAATAAAACATCAAATTTGAGATAGTTTTCTTTTATAAACAGATCACAAGCCACTTTGAATACTGAATTGAAATACTAAAAAGTAATGTAAATGTTGTACTGTGGATTCATTTATTTTCGTGGATTGAGAAAAAACTTGCATTTTCATGGATATTGGATTTCGTGGTTTTCCCAAAGTCTACAGTTAATCATACAGCAAATTTGCAATTCGTTGAACATTTAAATTCGTGGTTTCCCTGTACCCACGAAATCCACGAAAATTGGTATCCAACACTAATAATGAATCCACAGTATGCTATTAGAAAAAAACAGGAAGTTTAAAATAGATTGAACCTCTTAGTAGGTAATATATATGTAATGGGTGTCCTAACCTAGATTAGGCAAATTTTAATGGATACAAGATTCTAGTAACAACTATTGGTACCACTACAGCAAAATCTTGTTTCAACATTTTTTCCTAAGAATTAGGTACTTGTTTCTTGGAAAATAGGATGCTGATAAGACCTTTTTTATATTTGTAGAGTCCAGAAGAAATAGATACAGATACTGAGTATGATGTTGAAGATGAATATGACACACACATGAGTAAATGTAAGTAAATTAAATAACTATCACACTCACATAAGTATATTAAAAGTTAATATCATGAATATCACACTCATATGAGTAAATGAAATTTAAGTTGAATATGACACACACTTAGTAAATGTGTATTAAAATATATGTGACTTACAAATGAGTAAATGTGAGGTAAGAGGAATATGACACATACACATGAGTAAGGTAATATGAATATAACATATATGAGTGAATGTTATTGAAATTGAATATGAAACACACATGGAGAAATATTATTAAAGATAAATATATTAAACATACAATGACTTATTATATAAGATACAATGTATAGTAAACATACAAATTTGATACATACATGAGAAATATAAAGTGAATGGGACATAAGAAGCTTGAATAAAATTTGAAGAAATCTTTTCAAAAAAGTATTGAGAAAACAATGTTTACGTGCTTCAGAAAAAATGTGAAAAGCTTAGCTTTATTTGAAAAGTCATCTAGTTTGAAACAAAGCTCCTTGCAAAGTTTACAGATTGCAAATTGAAAATTTTAACAAACTGATAAAATTGCAAGTGAAATTGAAAAAAAATCAGCTTGCAAAATTAATTTGTAGCTAAAAATGTTAATAGTTATGATGAATTTGCTCTTTATTTTAGCAAGTTACACAACAGAACAAGATTACTCAGGGCAAAAAAGTGAGAGATGGATTATGGCTCATCTGCCTGAGGAACAAAAGGAAGTTATCCAACAGCATGTCCAGGAATTCCGTACTGCCAAACGAGAATTGGACCAGGAAATAAGGAAATGGGATGACAGTGGAAATGATATCATTGTTTTGGCCAAACAGATGTGTATGATTATGATGGAAATGACAGATTTTACAAGGTTTGCTTTTTAAGGAATACATTTTAATAATTGTTAAACAGGACAGCACCATAGCTAAGAGAAAAAGATAAACGGAGAAACTTAAGTCTATAAAAAACACTACACAGAAAACTGATTTAGCTGCAAGAGCACTATTAAAGACTGAGTGTAAACCTATTTGCTCAAGATACTTCAGCATTTACTGCACCACTAGAGACACCCACTGTTTACTCCTGGTTAAATATGTTAACGAGTCTTATCCAGTGATATATCATACAATAGAAGATTGGTGAATGTTTCTTGTCAAACCCTAAGATATTTCACAACACTAGAACTTGACTGAATGTGAAATTAGTTTACATGTCAGATTTCTATTAGATGATGTCTGTATTACTTACATGATCTCTATTTTATCACCTAATTTTCTAAGAAATTTAATTCATGATTTAACAATGAATATAACTGATTGTGTAATTTTTATGCTCCCGCAACTGAAAGTTGGGGGCCATATTGTTTTACCCCTGTCTGTCCGTCCTTCTGTCTGTCTGTCTGTCCGTCCCATTATGAGTATAAAGTTATTCCAGATAACTCCTACAGTTTGAATGCTAGGAAATTTTCACTTTGCTGGCTGTTTGTACATATATTGAAGGTGTGCATGTTGTCAGGGTTTTGATTTTTATTGATATTTGCTCTTTTGGGTTATAGTTGAACTTTGTCATTTTTTGGAGTATTTACTTGCATAAGAGGTGCATAGTGTTTCCGGATAAATCCTCCTACAGTTTGAATGCTAGGAAGCTTTCACTTTGCTGGCTGTTTGTACATATATTGAAGGTGTGCATGTGGTCAGGGTTTTGATTTTTATTGATATTTGCTCTTTTGGGAGATAGTTGAAGTTTGTCATTTTTGGAGTATATACTTGAATAAGAGGTGCATAGCATTTCCGGATTACTCCTCCTACAGTTTGAATGCTAGAAAGTTCTCACTTTGCTGGCTGTTTTTGTTCATATATTGAAGGTGTGCATGTGGTCAGGGTTTTGATTTTTATTTATATTTGCACTTTTGTAGAATGTTGAACTTTGTCATTTTTTGGAGTATTTGCATAAGAGGTGCATAGCATTTCCAGATAACTCCTCCTACAGTTTGAATGCTAGGAAGTTTTCACTTTGCTGGCTATTTGTACATGTATCGAAGGAATGCATGTTGTCAGGGTTAAATATGTGCTCTTTTGGGAGATAGCTGAACATTTTTGTCGTATATACTGGCATAAGAGGTGCATAGCATTTCCGGGTAAATCCTCCTACAGTGAACCATAGACCTATGTGCTCAACTTTGTGTATTTTAAAATAACACTTTGCATCTGCGAGGGCATCATTTGTGTCTCCCAGACGCATTAATATGTCAAAGAAAGTCAAACATTGCCTTTGTTATAATATAGTAACTTCAGAGTGGAGTGCAGGGGCATCACTTTGTCTAGTTTTTATTATATATTTCTACTATTTCAACATTATATTTTTCATTTTTTTTTTATTTTGTACTGATTTAACTTCAAAAATTGCATCCAAAATTTGATTAATAATTTTTCAACAGATATAGTAGGATATAAATGAATTTTCTATGATTTTTTCAGAGGAAGAGGTCCATTGAAGAGTACAATGGATGTCATTAATGCTGCAAAGAAAATCTCAGAAGCTGGAACAAAGCTAGATAAATTATCAAGAACTATACTTGATATGGTAGGTTCTCAGAAGCTAGAATTTGGTCTGGAATGGTTCATCTGACCTTGACTTCATTTTCATAATCAGACGCTTTTCCAATTTCAGTTTTATGATTGAACTGCTCTGGGTGACCAGTGGTCATTTGGGGGGAAAACTTGACATAGGACATTGTGACATGAAGATATTTGCTTTGTGACATCAAGTCTTTCTGGGAAAATGCATTAATGAACAGATCATGTATTCAATGGTCAGTGTTAAGTTTTTATTATTAGGTCTATTTCTCAGGATCTATAAGCAATAGGTCAACTATATATAAGGTGTGTGTAATAATTGTAATTTGTACATGTTAGTTTGGTAGTGTTTATCTGATCTTGACCTCATTTTCATGGATAAATGACAATGTTAAGTTATGTGATACCTGTAAAAACAAATTTCATCTTAAAGACTTGAAAAACAAAAATCAAGATTAGTAAAGCAGGTGAAACATTTCAGTGTGTGCAGTCTTGTTTTTTAAAACCTGTAATTTTCTGTTCATGGCCTAATTGAGGATAAAAGTTTCTATTGTAAGTAAAAAAATAACAATATATCCAGTCACAAATAGTTTGAAGAAAATAATTTAGATGTTGTTTTTTTTCATTTCAGTGTCCAGATTCTGCCTCCAAGAAAGATTTAGAAGCTTACTTACAGAGAATAGCCCTGTACTGCCATCAATTGAATATCACCAGTAAAGTCAAAGCTGATGTTACGAGTGCTAGCGGAGAACTTATTGTATCAGGGGTAATTAACTTTAATAACTATATATAGGAACACAAACACTGTCAGTGCAATAATTTAGTTCTACTGTAAACTGGGAATAATTACCTAACAGTAGAGTAGAATATTACCCTCAGAAATCTTGAATTATTTTCAAATTTTACCCATATATTATTACATTATAAACTTCTGTGTTCAGCCATGGGCTGCTGTCTCATTGGCATATATCTTGCATCTTCTTTAACTAATCAGTGATATTTTTTTTTCAATTTTCAATTTTAAAAACCCATATAGGGAGTGGTTGGTAGTGATTGTATTGCAATAAACTATGGATGAGTTGTGGTTAAGGTTCAAATTAATCTTTAGAAATCAAATTCTCATTCAATTTGAATGGCTGGATCGATGAAAAATTGCAATTTAATCCCCCTCTATTAAAAGTTAAAGGAACTAATTTTTCCCCTTTTCCTTGAAGTTTGAAGAACTACTTTCAGTGTAATATAAAGATATTATCACAATTAACATAAGATTTATCAGTGAACATTTAGCAATTACTTCCTAAAAGCACAACATAATACATGATACAACAATGTCCAATTTGCTTAAAAATTGATAAAAAAAAATGCTGTAATTATACCCCTGCTTTAAAAAAGTGGGGGTATACTGTTTTACCTCTGTCTGTCCGTCCATCCATCCGTCCATCCCATGAATATTTTTTGGCTCATCTTTTTCAGGAACTACATCATAAGGATTTCTGTATTTTGGTTTCAGGGTTTATATAAGTCAGCTATACCATGTGATGCATTTTCAGATTCATCACTCAACAACTTCCTGTTTACTGAAATATTTGGGCGGGGATATCATCAGTGAGCAGTAGCTCGCAGTTTCACTTGTTTATCCTCACATGAGTAACTCTTCATTTATGAACTACTGCCACTAATAATTTAACTTAAGTATGCTAATTTCTGTGGTGGAGTCAACTTTTGCATTCCTAGATGAAGTATTAGTCTGCAGTTGAAACATTTAGTTTCAGTCTGTGCTTGAAGTATCTTTAGATATCAATAACTTTGTCAAACATTCACATAATTTTATAAAATAGAAGCTTTTTCATTATTAAGAGATATCATCTGGAGCAGACAGTTGAAATGTTTTTCCTCCTATTTTATTTTACATATTTTACTAATGAATGGACTTACTTCATTTTTGGGCAATTAACTGTTTTGAATTTCAAGCAACTTTTCATGAAGCATTTCCATAATCAAAAGATCCTAGAGTTAAATTAAAGTCTTGTATTTTAGAAATAAATGGCAGTGAACAGGTCTGTGGGTAAAGAATTTAAAATTTGATGGACTTTGACTATTACCTATTACACTAACAACAGCAGTCACAGTCAGGATGCAGGGTTCATTGAACCCTTAACCAATTCTTTTTATTGTTCATTTATAATTCTTTTATCAATATTTGAAATCTTTTGTTGACAGTTAGACAGTGCTACATCTTTAATTCAAGCAGCCAAGAACTTGATGAATACAGTGGTATTAACCGTCAAAGCTGCCTATGTTGCTTCTACTAAGGTAAACAATACCATCTATTAATGTATTAAATAAGAGATTATCTGTCCTTAAACAATATTACCAATGTATCATCTATTGTAACAGTACATGATTTCTTGTATAATGTTCATCCTAAATATTCATAAAAGATATATCTGTTAGACAGAAAAAAAAACATTCAACCAATCTATTCATCCTGAATATTCATGAGATATTTTATACTGGAAATTAAAATGCCAACAGTCAACCAACCAATTATCCTGAATATTAATGCAATATTTAAAAATTGGAAATTAAAGCACCTACTGAATATTCATGAGATATTTTATATTGGAAATTAAAGCACTAACAGTCAACCAACCAATTAATCCTAAATAGTCGTGAGATATTGTATTCGTGGAAATTAAAACACCAACTGAATATTCATGAGATATTTTATAATGGAAATTGAAACTGCAACATTCAACCACCCAATTATTCCAAAATAGTCATATGAGATGTTGTATACTGGACATTAAAACCAAAAGTCAACAAATCAGTTAATTAATCAGTCAGCCAATTATAATACTTATAACAACAATAACAAAAATAGTGTCTGAGTAAGATGTCAAGGTTCTTGGTAATCATAGATTTTCAATTTACCCCATCAATAAAACTCATCTTTAAATTATGCAGATGCAGAGGAAAAGAGGAATAAAAAACTCTTCATACAAATAAAACTCATCTTTAAATTACGCAGATGCAGAGGAAAAGAGGAATAAAAAAACTCTTTATACAAACAATCAATTTTAGCATACAACAATAGATCTAAGATAGATTATATTTCTCATTTGTAATGAGTTTAAGTAAATGTTGGGTAAACATCATTGAGACAGCTACCTGTTGAAAAACTATATATTCACATGATCATTTAAATTAAATGGCATTGTGCACATTTTTTTTTACCTCGATGACTTTTTGAGGCTTTTCAGAACTCTCTCTGTTTGTGAAGGAAGAGGTGGAGGGTAGTGGCAGGAATATTTTGGCTTTTATTACAGTTGCTTTTCTGCATATTAAACAAGCCCCAACCACCAATAAAAACAAACACAAAAAAAACAAGCAGACACTCCTGCACAAGAATTTCTATTACATTTGTGATTAAGGGAATACTTATTTATACATATTTGTTTTCTTTCTATTACAGTACAAGTTACCTGGACAAAAGGTAGGTTACTTTTTGTCTGTCTATGTTAAAATAATTTTATCCAGAGTTGTATTGAACCTAAATTTAGAGGAAGTAAAATCCCTAAGAAATATTCTTTTTAAACATCATTAGTAACAAAACCTTTTGTCTTCCATGAATGCCATAACCGATGCTGGTATTGATGACTAACAATTTTCTTTCTTATCTAAAATTTTGGACAGATTTTAGTTAGTCTAAATTGGCAAAAACAAATTGTGTTTGATTTAACATTTTTAGGCCAATGAAATTTTTTGTTATGCCCCTTGTTGAGGAAGATTATCTTATTTTTTTTAAAGTTGAAGAACTTCGATTCCTGAGTGGAATTTTTATAGTAGTGTGAGGTGAATCTATTCTTTACATATGAATGCATTCTTCATTCAATTTTATTTTCTAAAAGAGAAAAGAGTGATATTACTTTCTTTTTTCAACACAAAAAGCAGAATAGGTAACTACCGGTATAAGTTTTTGTCTCTAAATCAAATTACTGTATTCTGATAAATGTATAATACATGATTAATAGACTGATCATGTGTACTGCAAAGCATCCTAAGTTTTCCCACACTTCAAACCAGCATAAATTTTGTCAGGATTGTGTTTTGAGTCTGTTCTTAATTTTAAAATTCTTGCATGAAAGGCTGAAAACCAAATCCAAAACGCCTTTCACAAGGTATAATCCAAGAACATTATGTTTCCAAAGTTGCTTTATCCACCTTTGTAAACATCATAAATGTCCAGAAAAATCTATAAACCATAAAATTGGCTGTCTGTCCAACTGGCGATATAAACAATGAAATTGTACCCCAGGAATAATCCTTTCTCTAATTTGTACGTAATTTCTCAACCTTTTTATTAGGGATGTAAAATCAGTTAACAATTACTAATTGAGTACTTGTTGGTTTTATTGAGCGATACTCGAGTACTCGCTCTGAAATATATCTACAACACAGAAACACAAAAATACTTACTTTACATTCTGTGGTTTGTTGTTTAACGGACGAAAAACCATCTACATAAGTATCTGGGACAAGGAATTACACACCATAATTAATAGCTCATTACCTACAATTTCTAAGTAGGTAAAAAAACAATAATCTAATCAATAAAATTTAATGAACACCTATTTGAAAATTATAACAAGGAAAAACCGTATCAAACAATAGTATTTTGTAATCGTTAAGAAACACATTTAATGTTTACAAAGGCGTAAGGATTAGAAGTTTAACTATTCACTGAGGGTCACCAGAGGATGCAACAAATTTAATTTATTTGGAAACATTTTCTTGTCAACTATTATTGGGGACAGTTGGTTTTGCAACTTTTTAAATTACAGTCTTGCAGACGAAAATATTTGCTCCGACAGTACCGAATGGCTAAGACATGTTTAGTTTAAAGTGTTAGCCTAGGTATAGCCCACATATTTTCGGCATTTTAACTGGCAATTTAGCACAAGCTTTCAAAACAAAAAGTAATTTATTTACTAGTCTGAATAATCAGTGATACCTATTTAATTTTCCGAAAGAGGTTCTCATGAAGATCAATTTTATATAAAGAAGACAGCAATATTTTAACTGGAAACCAATTAGTCGAGAATCGTTTTAGTATTCGATACTCGGTACTACCGAGCGATGTATTCGAGTACTTATTGACATCCCTACTTTTTATTATCAAATATTTAATTAACCTGTCCTCCCAATATTCTCAGTCAACTTTTAACTGTTTAGATCATGATCAATAAATGTCAATAACATTGTTTTTATCATACGACGAGCACACTGATATATAAATGTTAATTACCAATTCATTAGCGAAAAAAAACATAATGCATCCAATTTCAAATGAGAGAATATCATATACATTGCAGAAACGAGTTTACTTTTATATTTTACTTTTCTTAACATTCATTAGAGATTCTGCCACTTTACCTCATATATTACGATTATCAACTCCAGATAATTTATTAGTTTAGGAAATTTAACTATCCTGAGTTGCTTAAATTTAATTAAATACTGTGGAAGAATCTACCAGTATATATATCATGCTAAAAAAGATATTTATATTTTTTTGCATTAAGCTATGTAAATACAGGTGTATAAATGAATGTTCAAATAAACAGATAACAATTCATTTTATAACTTAACTTTGTTAATTACAGAATGTTGTAATGTGGAAAATGAAAGCTCCTGAGAAGAAACCATTAGTAAGGAAAGAAGATGCTAAAGACTTACGATCTCAGATCAAAAAGAGTGCTGTTAAAAAGAATGTAGAACCAGTGAAAGCACTAAGTGAATTCCAGGAAATAGATACCAGTAGTTACTGTTGATAAAATAGACATATTGTTTTACCTGTCTTAATCTTAACTTGTTTATTTCACTACACAAAATTCAATCGTTTTATATTGACATGAGAATACATATGTGGTTGTCCTTATAAGGCATGTATGTTGATAAATGTTTTGGGTTTTGTAACTGTAAAAAAAGGACACCACATTGGAACAAATAATTTAATAGTATATGTGTAGGAGATAACATTAGCAGTCAAAATATTGAGTATTTTTTTATAATTTGACTGAGAGGAGATATGATAGATAGATGGTGCCATTTTACGTTCAAACCCTTTCATATTAATTGAGGACCCCAAAACTTGATTTTAAGGAACGGTTATTTTAAATATAATTTGTTTACTTAGAAGAACTTTTTATTGTCTGTAATCATCAATATAATATTGACATACATATACAGATATAAGATATAAAGAGTTCTATATTAAGGTTGTGATGTTAAAAATTCAAAATGGCATAGGAAAGAATTAATGTTTTGTCTGATTCACAAATATAAAATGTTAAAAATGTTGCAGAGTTTGAAACTGAATGTTAAATTATGTAGAGAATTACTATTGTTAGGTGTCAAATTAGAAATATGTTAACTGAAATAGAACTTGATATATATATTAACATGAAGACAAGTCAGCATTAAAGCATACTTACAAAAATAAGACACTTATCAAACATGAAAACACACATTGGTATTAATGTCATACAAATATCAGTTTTGTAAATACAACCATCTACATCCTTTTATAATCATCAATTGGGATTTTTCATTTTCATAACAGAATCTCATTTAATTGTTTCTTAATTTACATGCATGTAGTTTGATTGTGGTGTTAAACTGAACTGAACATATCATTTTATTGTGCTACATTAATTTCTATTAACAACTTTTAAATTTTTTTTTACAAGATTTTTATTTATCATTTTTTTCATTTCATTATTTTATTTAAACAAATATATGTTTAGCAAATTCAGGCAGAGTTTTGAATAGGAAAGCTGTTAGCAATTTCACATAGATGTTTCTAAATAATTTATTTCAGAAAAAAAAACCTTAAAATTAAAATTTATGAAAACAATTTATAATGTCGAAGTATGATAATTTATTTTGAAAACCACTCTTAATTATTATTTCTTAATAGACATATTAACACTTGAATGCAAATTTGTCCGCCATTACTTAAAATCACACAAGTTCCCGTAAAATTTGACATCACAATTTGAAATAATTTGACGTCATAGTTAAAAAGTGGTTGTTGCTTGATGTCAGAAGGTTTTTCAGAGACAGATCTAAGGTCATTCTGAGACAAAATTCAGCTCAATACCAAAACTTTGAATAAGTTTATAGATTTTTCATAATTTTTTGTCTCGCATGCAATTTTCAATGTTTAGTTTTCTCATTAAGTTAGTTTGATGGGAACTGCTTACAATAGACAATATTTTCTATAAAGTTGCATTGCTGTCTGTACATCTCAGTATGTCAACCATTTTGAGGCCCTACCCACTAGTTGGTTCAGCTACTTTGAATTAACTAGCAATATTGCTGCCCATCAGATTGTCTTTTTCTGAATTTTATGCAGACAGGCGAGACATATCTCTGTGTCAGCAGTTTATTTATATTCAAAACATTTGTTGTCTTTCTAAAGATTTAAATTACAAAAAACTACAAACATTTATAATGTCAGATTAAATAACTAATAACCACAACACACAGGATTACAATAAGAATTTCAAAGTAAGATTTTCTTACCTTTGAACAGAATAATTTCACAGAAAATGTATACAGAGCTATTTCCCCTTATATCAAGTTAAGTTTTGCATTTAGATTTTTCTCATTATATTTTTCATAGATTCATTAGTTGTATAAATAAAAAATCAAATCTGTATTTGTTAAGCTTTAAGACAAGGTAGAGGGCAAAAGACACAAATATTTCACTTTTTAAAAGGAAAGTAGTCCACATATTGCTAGAAGATAATATTATTTACAAAACTTAAGATGCTAATTGGTGAGCAAGTTTTTGTCACATTACAGTTTTATTTCCACAATATTGTTAGGTCAGTATTTTTCTATGTGGAAATTTAATATCTAATATAAAATTGATTTTTATTACATGAAAATATGACCAAAAAATAACCTAATATGTTTGTTACCTTAAGATAAAATAACACACAAATTTTCTTGTATAGTGTATGCATTGATATTTAGGAAAATATTTAAACAGCTAAAAGAAGATTTGTAAAAATTTAGAACAAGTTTAATTCCGTTGGTTGTAGAGTTATTGTTTATTTATTTTTAATAATGGTTGTGAGAATTTTTTATGTTGTATTTTTTATAGTGTACATTTACAATTATTTTTCAAAAAGCATACTTTAGTCATTATCAGAAATAGAAGCTACTTTATACATCTGAATTACATGGACTTCATTAAAACAGATTTTCATACTAAATATGATTTACTTTTATCTTTTAAAGGATGCTGTGTTGAATACAAACTTATGAATATAAAAAAAAGAGATGTGGTATAATTGCCATTGAGACAACTGTCCACACGAGTTCAAATCAAGAAGATATAAGCAATTATAGGTCACTGTACGGCCGTCAACAATGGGAAAAAACCCATACTGTATAGTCAGCTATAAAAGGCATCAACACGAAAAATGTGAAACAATTCAACAGTATATTTATAAGTGTCAAAACTGGCCATGGAATAAGCAATACAATCAATGTTATGGAATGACTTTACAATGTTATTGGCAATCGAGAGCTTGACATTTGGTGTAGAAACCGGTCTTATGTCGAAGATGATATGATGACCACCAGATATCTCTTTGTTTGTTTTGCATTAAAGCTGCTGTCTCATTGATGAATTACATTGGGTCAGTCAGGTCCAGTCTTTTTTATACTGACCAAAGGTTTAATAGAAAATCATTTGTATGTCATCAGATTGAAACAGGATCTTCTCTACTATGTTCCGATCTAAAAATAATATACCTTGTATTTCTAATGTTTGACGTCTTTTTCTTGGTACCTTATAGTTCATAAAATGATTGTAGTACATTCATTTTATACACAGAGTAAAAGGTTATTTAAACGCATAAACGTGTGTAGAACAAATTCATCAAATTTACTTTATTTATATGTGACAAAATTTAAATTCTCATTCATCTGATTTTAAATGACTGATTGATTTATAGAATGTTATGTACATTCTACAACCCTATAGGTCTAACAGACACATTGAAAGAAACCAGAAATTTTGGTGTACTGGTGCTCATTTTCACTCGTGAAAGGGCTTGAATTATATCATTTGTCCATCAATTTATAAGGAAATATGAAGTTTGAAAAAAATTCATAGCAGATTTTGATATGGTTGCCAAAAAAACCTTCATATATTCTGCCAACTTTATTGTCTCGTCTGCGACTTTTTGTCGCAATATGTGAGACTTTGGTATAACTATCAGGCTGAAGCGGTGGTAACGTAAACTATTTGTATAGAGCTTTATATTTCAGAAGGTAGAATGGATGCTTCATACCTTGTATGCAGATACCTTATTTTACAAAGTATCAATCTGTCATTTGTACATTGTCCTTGACCTCATTTTCATGGTTAAGCAACTGCTTGAAAAAAATTTACATTTTATTTGTCAATTTCTCACTTATTATGAGTAAAAGAATAACTATATTTGGTATATGGGTTCCTTGCAAGGTCTATATGTCCGTCAGACAGGGTTCATCTGACCTCAACCTCATTTCATGGATCAGTGATCAAGGTTAAAGTTACATGATTAGGACCATTTCTCAGATACTATAAGCAGGAGGTTGACTATAGTTGGTGTATGGAATGATTGTAAGGGGTACATTTCAGTCTGACAGGTTTCATCTGACCTTAACCTCATTTTCATGGTTCATTGGTCATTGTTAAGTTTTTGTGTTTTGTTCTGTTTTTTTTTCAAGTACTTTAAGCAATAATTCAACTATAGTTGGTCTTTGGAATGATTGTTAGGTATGCATGTCGTTTAGGTGGTATCATCTGATCTTGGCCTCATTATCATGGTTCATTGGTCAATGTTAAGTTTTTGTCTTGCCTGCGACTTTTGTCGCAGAAAGCTCGACATATGGATAGGGATCCGGCGGCGGCGTTAGCTAACTTCTTAAAAGCTTTATATTTTAGAAGGTGGAAGACCTGGATGCTTCATACTTTGTATATGGATGCCTCATGTTACGAAGTTTCCGTCAGTCACATGTCCAATGTCCTTGACCTCATTTTCATGGTTCAGTGACTACTTGAAAAAAAAGTTAAACATTTTTTGTAATGTGAAATTCTCTTATTATAAGTAGTAGGATAACTATATTTGGTATGTGTGTACCTTGCAAGGTCCTCATGCCCGTCAGTCAGTTTTCACTTGACCTCGACCTTATTTCATGGATCAGTGAACAAGGTTAAGTTTTGGTGGTCAAGTCCATATCTCAGATACTATAAGCAATAGGTCTAGTATATTCGGTGTATGGAAGGACTGTAAGGTGTACATGTCCAACTGGCAGGTGTCATCTGACCTTGACCTCATTTTCATGGTTCAGTGGTTATAGTTAAGTTTTTATACGACCGCAAAAAAATTTTTGTGGTCGTATATTGGTATGACGTTGGCGTCGTCGTCGTCCGGCGTCGTCGTTGTCGTCGTCGTCGTCGTCGTCGTCCGAAGACACATTGGTTTTCGCACTCTAACTTTAGTTTAAGTGAATGGATCTTTATGAAATTTTACCACAAGGTTCAATACCACAAAAGGAAGGTTGGGATTGATTTTGGGGGTTATGGTAATAACAGTAAAGGAATTAGGGGCCAAAAAGGGGCCAAAAATAAGCATTTTTGTAACTTCCAGACATAACTTGTGTGTTAGTGTATGGATCTCTCTGACATTGTACCACAAGGTTCCATATCACTAAAGGAATGCTGGGATTGATTTTGGGGGTAATTGCCTCCAAATTTTAGAAATTAGGGGCCAAAAAAGGGGCAAAAAACAAGCATTTTTCTAGTTTCATGACAATAACTTGTGTGTAAGTGTATGGATCTTTCTGAAATTGTACTACAAGGTTCCATATCACAAAGGGAAAGCTGGGTTTGAGTTTGGGGGTAATTGCCCTAAACGTTTAGGAATTTGGGGCCAAAAAGGGGCCAAAAAACACATTTTTTTCTAGTTTCCAGACAATAACTTGTGTTCAAGTGTATGGATCTCTCTGAAATTGTACTGCAAGGTACCATACCACCTAGGGAAGGCTGTGATTGAGTTTGGGGGTGATGAATCATAATGGGGGTTCAAAAAATTTTGGGGAGGGATTTATTTTTTTTTCCTTTTTTTTCTTTTTTCCTTTTTTGTTTCTTTTAAAATTTTCCATTTTAAGTTGGTTATTTCTGATTTATATTTAAAATCAAATAATAATGATATGGTAGGAGATACACACCAAACAGGATGTGTAAATTATTATATAAAAAGTATTGTGCAATAGCAAGAAATTTTCAATTGCACAGTATTGCACAATAGCAAGAAATCTTCAATTGCACAGTATTGCGCAATAGCAAGAAATCTTCAATTGCACAGTATTGCGCAATAGCAAGAAATATCCAATAGCACAATATTGCGCAATAGCAAGAAATTGTCAATTGTACAGTATTGCGCAATAGCAAGAAATATTTAATAGCACAGGATTGTGCAAAAGAAGATACTTCCTATAAATTGCTTATTTCTTGACCAATTTCAATGGGGTTTTATTCTTGATTTCATGGGGTTCTTTAATATGCTGAATATAACCGTGTATTTAGTTTTTGGATTTTGGGCCCCGTTTTTAAATTGGTCCACATTGAGGTCCAAAGGGTCCAAAATTAAACTTTGTTTGATTTCATCAAAAATTGAATTATTGGGGTTCTTTGATATGCCGAATCTAACTGTGTATTTAGATTCTTAAATTTTGGTTCCGTTTTCAAATTGGTCTACATTAAGGTCCAAAGGGTCCAAAATTAAACTTAGTTTGATTTTAACAAAAATTGAATTCTTAGGGTTCTTTGATATGCTGAATCTAAACATGTATTTAGATTTTTGATTATGGGCCAGTTTTCAAGTTGGTCCAAATCGGGGTCCAAAATTAAACTTTGTTTGATTTCAACAAAAATTGAATATATGGGGTTCTTTGATATGCTGAATCTAACCATGTACTTAGATTTTTGATTTTTGGGCCCCGTTATCAACTTTGTCCACATTGAGGTCAAAAGGGTCCAAAATTAAACTTTGTTTGATTTCATCAAAAATTGAATTATTGGGGTTCTTTGATATGCCGAATCTAACCGTGTATTTAGATTCTTAATTTTTGGTTCCGTTTTCAAATTGGTCTACATTAAGGTCCAAAGGGTCCAAAATTAAACTTTGTTTGATTTTAACAAAAATTGAATTCTTAGGGTTCTTTGATATGCTGAATCTAAACATGTATTTAGATTTTTGATTATGGGCCCAGTTTTCAAGTTGGTCCAAATCGGAGTCCAAAATTAAACTTTGTTTGATTTCAACAAAAATTGAATATATGGGGTTCTTTGATATGCTGAATCTAACCATGTATTTAGATTTTTGATTTTTGGGCCCCGTTATCAACTTTGTCCACATTGAGGTCAAAAGGGTCCGAAATTAAACTTTGTTTGATTTCATCAAAAATTGAATTCTTGGGGTTCTTTGATATGCTGAATCTAACCATGTATTTAGATTTTGAATATTGGACCATAATAGGTGAATGTCCAATTTAAAATTTTTAAGTTCTTAGACCACATTCAATCTGTGTTAGAAACCTATGCTGTGTCAAATATTTAATCACAATCCAAATCCAAAGCTGTATCAAGCTTGAATGTTGTGTCCATACTTGCCCCAACTGTTCAGGGTTCGACCTCTGCGGTCGTATCAAGCTGCGCCCTGCGGAGCATTTTATTGTGTTTTGGTCTGTTTTTCTTATACTGTATGCAATAGGTCAACTATATTTGGTGTATGGAATGATTGTAAGGTGTACATGTCTAGCTGGCAGGTGTCATCTGACCTTGACCTCGTTTTCATGGTTCAGTGGTCAAAGTTAAGTTTTTGAGTTTTGGTCTTTTTTTTCTAATACTATATGCAATAGGTCAACTATATTTGGTGTATGGAAATATTTTATGATGTACATGTCAGTCTTGCAGGTTTTATTTGACCTTGACCTCATTTTCACGGTTCATTTCTCAGTGTTGAGTTTTTGTGTTTTGGTCTGTTTTTCTTCAACTATAAGCAATAGTTCAACTATATTTGTTATATGGAAGAATTGTTAACTGTACATGTCTGCCTGGCATGGTTCATCGGACCTTGACCTCATTTTCATGGTTCATTGGTCAATGTTTAGTTTTCTTGGTTAATGTTAAGTTTATGTGACAGTTGTAATAAAGCTT